AGATGACAACCTGTTTATTAAAAGTAAAATCCACAATAAAAAGGCAATATGTTAACCTCTAGATGTCTAATGTTAACCAGTCTATTAACAGTAAAATCCACAATAAGAAGACCATATGTTGACCTCTAGATGTCTAATGTTAACCAGTCTATTAACAATAAAATCCACAATAAAAAGACCATATGTTGATCTTTAGATGTCTTTAAGGTATAACCTAATGCAAACCTGTATATTAACAGTAAAATCCACAATGAAAAGACCATATGTTGACCTCTAGATGTCTTAAAAGGTTTTTGGTTATTTGGTTGTCTGATAGCATTTAGGTGTGGAAAAGTTATAATTTGAAAATTTGAGTGATTGTGATGGTTATTGTTTTGAGTATGTTATATCCCTTGATATGAATAAAAGGAGCTCTGATGAAGACTGACCACAACAACCTACTCAGTGCCTTTAAGGTTTGTAGTAACATTGACATTAAATAGTTAGGGTTCATATCCATCCACATCAACAAATGGATAAAGGCAAGGTATTTATATACTATATATACTATATATACTATATATACTGCAAGGGGGTAATAAAAATATAAGGTAATCAAGGACAAGTCGGCTTTGTTTTATATCTGGTTAAAAAAAAACCACCTCCATCTATACAAAAGCTGTATATTCTTACCGAGGTAATCACATCACAACAGAAAATCCTTCTCCATTCAGCTCTTTGTTTTAAAAATAATAATGGAATTTTTCAATATAAATCCATCCCATATTGAATGCAGGCCATTTAGCTAGAATCTTTTTTTCGTTGGTAGGTACAAATTTAGTATTAAAGTAATTTTTGGCAATTTCTTTATCTATCAATGATACTAACAAAGTTAACCATAGTTTTTTTAGATCAAATTCTCGAGCTTTCCTTTTTATAGATAAAAGTTACATGTACAATGTACTTAGTCACATATGATTAGCACCACTTACCTCACTTATTGAAGAACAAAGTACATTTAACATGTTTAAGTACAAATAGAGAAAACCAACAGCTGGAATTATGGCACATAAAGTGCATGTAAGTACAAACAGAGAAAACCAACAGCTGGAATTATGGCACATAAAGTACATGTAAGTACAAATAGAGAAAATCAACAGCTGGAATTATGGCACATAAAGTGCATGTAAGTACAAATAGAGAAAACCAACAGCTGGAATTATGGCACATAAAGTGCATGTAAGTACAAATAGAGAAAACCAACAGCTGGAATTATGGCACATAAAGTACATGTAAGTACAAATAGAGAAAATCAACAGCTGGAATTATGGCACATAAAGTGCATGTAAGTACAAATAGAGAAAACCAACAGCTGGAATTATGGCACATAAAGTACATGTAAGTACAAATAGAGAAAATCAACAGCTGGAATTATGGCACATAAAGTACATGTAAGTACAAATAGAGAAAATCAACAGCTGGAATTATGGCACATAAAGTGCATGTAAGTACAAATATGGATAGAAGAAGCACCAGATCTATTATGATGTAAGATAAAGTCATCTATCAAAAAAATACATTAAATTTACATAATGCGACAAAAATTAACTTCACGTTTGCATAGATGGCAAATAGACATAGTAAATTGGTTCAATTTGCATGAGGCTTCATAATAATAATTTTGTCTACATGTATATCACTCCAAATTTGGGGTGGATGAGAGGGTTTTATTTCATTGAATTTAAAAAAAAAAACTCTTAAAAAATGCTGTTTTAACTTCAATAAAAGCAGACTTGATTCTGTTTATACCTCAACATGATTCTCTATCAATTAGATACTTATTATTAAACCCTATCAAGGTAAACACCAATGAGACAGCAACCTAACAATTACAAAATATCATAATACATTTAGAGGTCAACATATGGTGCATTCTTACCTGGACTGAATAAAATGTTCTATCAATCGTAGAATATAACCACATTCTATGTTTGTCATATAAGGTATACAGCAAACCTTCCGTAATCAAATCCACAAAATGCTTTACAACAGGAAAACCCTTAGTCATCCAATGAAGTTACAGATACTTGAAACTTTGTAATAAACTACTCAATATTAATGACCTAATTTAACTCTTGGGAAAACATTTTAGAATTGGTAGTACATGTAATGAGCCAAATTATAAAACATAAAATGTCAGAGCTCCAAGGTAAACTGTAAAAAGCTATTTTCAATTGTCTGATATATCAGACAATTTACTTTTGTTTTGTTTTTTGTTTTTTAGGGAGGTTCCATGTATAATGAATTAAAGCATCCAATTTTTTTTTTACATTAGTGTTTTTTTTCTTCAGGTAAAGGCCAATAAAAACAGTTAGACAGACAACAGTTAAACTTGTCCTAATAATTCATATGGTATATATATTATTTACACAGAAGTTATCTCTCAGATGATGGTATGTAGATCACAGGTATTACTGTTGATCATCCACATACCAAGAAGATTAAATCTTCCATAACATCAATGGTCAACACTACATATATTGTACATCTCTAACAAGAAAACGCCGACCTATGGATAAGGAAACAGCATTTACTATCATTCATATATAAATTCAAAACTCATCTGATTCTTTATGTTGCTGCTAGAAGCAACCCTTCTTTAATGATTCATTTTTAAAATACTACTTTTTTTAAACAAAGAAAGCCAATCAGACTTTTTACCTTGCTACAAGATATGGGATCTTTAATGAAACAAAATAAAATCTGAGGCATGCTTACTGAACACCACCTGTGCTCCATAACAATCAATCTTTAACCAGAGATATTAGGACTGAACCTTTATTTTCTTGACATGCAATGTCAACTGATCCTTTGAAACATGTACAAATATTATAAACTTGTAACATATACTAACTATAACTTGGACTATATACATGTATTAAGTTTAATAGTCCCTCAGAGAAGCTGAAAATCATTTTCTCCCAACTAAATGGTATGTAATGCTTTTAATTTCTAGATCCTTTTGATGTAAAGTAGTATATGTCATATTATGACTAAAAAAAGAAATAAAATTACCTTATTTAATACTGAAGTTGTCCTATATCTTCCATTCTTCTCTCTATTCCAAGCCTAATTAGGGACAAATGTATAGCTCACTAGTCTACATATAATATTTAAATTAGATTTTAACAAATTGTAATTGAAGAGTTCAAAGGATCTTCAATCTTAATTGTGGAAATCAAATTTTAATTTTTAATTTTTGAAATTTGAAATGCATAGTATCACCTGTAATTAACATGGCAGAAACATCAAAGAAAACATGGAAGACCAGGTAGGTTATATATGTACACCAGCATGTATATCTTTGAGCCAAAAGGATGATTTCCACTGACGCAACAGAATATCAAACAGAAATGGCATATTTCTTCTGCTGACTTAAAACTTCTGAACTCAACAGATTGCATTAAATATGATCAACTACAATATGCATGGTCATTGAATTCTTCAAAAACGTAAATTGGGGTAATAGTATGAGTAGATCCTCAAATGTGAAATAAATCTGGAAATTAAGTACATACTATTTATGATGACAATGTTTGGATATTCTTAAGTGGTGTTCCCAAAGTTCTTACAAACATTTTCATGGTACATAATTCCAAAAGTAGGTGGCAGCACTGTATATTTATACATCATACAACAGTAAATGCAACTAACTAAATTTACCTAAACTTTAAACATGATAAATATATTGTTAAATTTGACATTTAAAGTGAATTTTCTCCTTAATTAGACAATGTATTACTTATAAAGTTCACTATATCTTACCTGTTTCTGCCTGTGTCTTCAGTGTTACTTTCTCTGGTAATTTAACTTCCAGGTCTTCACACATCTTTGTCCACTGTTTTCATACATTTACTTGATTTTTCATTATTTATGCTTACTCAACTTATAAAAACGATTTTTATCTCAGACCATAAAAACCATGCTAAAAACCACTCAGTCATGAAATTCAAATTTATAAGCTATAATTTTTATCATATAAAGCATCAATCAAGAAATGCCATCTTTTAAAAACCCATTCAAGATACAATGTATTCACACTTATTTATGACAAAGATCTTGTCTAGAAATTGACATGCAATCAAAGATTTAAGTTTATAACTTACTATTATACCAAACATATCACTTTTCTAGATTGAATATATTAATTCTACTTCTACTTAAAAAAGACTACGTGTTTTATAATTAAGCCAAAAAAAGTGCAAACCATACCAGCTAGGTTTAGCAGGCTTTTCATAGATTTTAATGTTCTTCTAAATTCAAAAAAAATTTAACTTTATTTGATTTTGAATACACTAGATATGGCTGATAAAGATTAAAGCCTATTTTGAAGGTAGATTTTTCAGAAAATTACAGGCATGCACATTTAACAATTTTACTGTAGAGTTCAAATCACAATAAAGATCCAATGGCAGTCAATATATAAATTATTGTTCAATCCCAACCACATTGGTGAATGACAAATTAGATACCTTAGGGGTAATACCATATAGTCCCGATCAAACAACCCATAAAGATTCATGTTATCTTTATATCAAGTCCAACTGCAAATCTGCCCTTGGTTCATTTTAAGGTTGTTGAAGCTCAGATATGAAATCATTTTTCATTTAAAAAAAGTAAATTCAAAGAAAAATACTGTTAAGAGAATACATGTATGTGAAATTGCAATGGAAGTAAGTATTTCATTTATAAGAACTTAAAATTTTGGTCACATTATTTCTATGAAGCAATTCTTGAAATGAATATTTATGTCTATTTATCATTAATAACAATATGATTTATACTTAGTAGTTGTAGGAATCTCCAGGGATGAAGATTTAACGATGGAGGAACTCTCACCAGGACAAAAACTAGCATGTCGTGATGTAAAATATTTTATTCCTGTATTTCATTATTGGTGAAATTATTTATTTGCAGTTGGTAATAACACCTGATTATAAACAGTTGATAAATAGTCCTACCTTAACTTTTCCTTCGACCCATACAACAAATGTACCCTTCATTTACACCCTCTACTTCTTCCTGTGATCAGCTGGATTATCCTAAAAAAAAATAAAGACTTCTATCAAATCTTCATTTTAACAGTTTGGAATTCAAGATGAGCTAGTCTTCAGGGCTTCAGGCTCATAATAACTAATTGGTTGATATGATTTTTGTATTCCATATAACATAGCTCAGTTGTGCTGAGATGGCTATAAAACCCTTTCATTCAATCAAACAATGTATTTTATACTGTACATGGATATACTATATTGATTCAACCATGGAAGTATTATATTGACAGGAATAACCAATAAAAACTGGCCGCCATGAAATAGCCCAAAAGTGGTGCTTCAAAGTGGCGTTAAAACACCAACAATCAATCAATCAATCTTTCGATTACTCGTTAATTGGTTTAAGATATGGAATGGTAATTGATTCTCGGCATGTGCTTGATCAAATCACTCACACTTTTCGGTCATTTTCGTGTTCAAGGAAATATACAAAACAGACCGGTTGTTGTCGGATATACTTAGGAAGTAACCCGAATAGTTCACTCGTTGCATTCCGCTGTTGTACACTGATAATTGTACAAAAATATGTTTTGACCTCCTTTTATAAATAAAAATAATCAAAGTCTCTCGTGTATAGCAGTCAATTAAAATTTTTAAAATTTTAAACAGAGACATGTGTAGTATATATGTCTCGGTTTTAAACGTTTATATTCTTTGATTTGTACATTAACTAATTCGTATAAAATAAATTGTACATAAACTAATTTGTATAAAATAAATTGTACATAAACTAATTCGTTTAAAATAAATTTGCAGTTAGAAATATAGCTTCAAGCTCATTTGTTTTGTTGTTTCTCTTGTTGCAGTAACTTGTTAATACTAGTATTCAATTGTTATCAAACACTTTTTTAAAATAGATATAAATTTCACATGTTTTAAGACTTTATTATCCCGATTTTAATTGTTCAGTTTCAATAATGTAATTAGTGACATTTATTACAAATATATAAATCTAAAATACTTGAAAGTAAATATCCTTTTATAAATCTCGAAAAACTTGGCACATTTGAACAGTAAAATATTTAATGTCTACCTACTGTACTTACATGTTTGTCTAAATTATTTTTTAGAACATCATGTAAAACCTGATCGCTTCATCGTTATTACCCGTTTTACTCGAGATCCGTTTTCATGCGGAAAATACTTTTAATCAGTTTAAGATTTAAGTTTCATAAAATTCTGGCATGAACTGTACATATATGAGAGTGATAACAATGCAATTCTTTATATAATTCATATTTCCAAGGGGCATAACTCTTTTAAACATAATTGATTGGCACTTATTTTCGAACTCGTCCAAGACATTGCTGATATAAACCTATGATATAAGTTTCATAACAATCTGGCAAGAATTGTACATGTGAGAGCGCTAACAAGACTGGACAGACGCACAGACGGACGCCCAGTATTTTCATGTCCCCTGCAATGCGTTGTGAGGGGGACAAAAAAAACAAAAATATATACAATTTTCCATGTTAAACTGTTGTAGTTTAAACAATTCTCGTCCGTTTTTCAAGTTTTTTTACACCATTCGATTTCTTTCTAAATATAGAAGTGTTATATGATACAGCGCCACCTTGTTATTAATAAACTACCGAATTCCCACAGGTGCACTATAATTACCGGACTCAATAAAATCATGTGACTGATAAGAAATTCCAGATGACATTTACAACCGTGGTATCACAGATAGTAACCAAATGGGTCTTGCCGCTGAGACAATAATTGGATAAATCCTATGACATTAGTACAGAGCTCTGCAGGTCATTTATACATGCTAATTAATCGTTGTTATTCCTTTTCATTTTACTTCCATGGTACAACATCATGGTGGTAAGTTTTGTTAATAGAAGAAACTGTGTAGTCATTAGCCGTTCAATAACAGAATATATACATTGCATATTTTGTACTCGTAACATATTTTAGTACAGGTTAAGTGTACTCATCTTCATAAATGACCACCAACAGTTGTTATTACATGTACTACCACAGTGGCCATACACATGCAGCTGAAGTATTTCCCATTCAAAGAACTCATTTATTTTCCCTGGTTATAAATTATAGACAAGAGCTTTTATAATGAATAGATTCAGAAATTCACTGACTGGTTCTGTTTTTTGCTGCAGATAGAGAAATGGTATAGATTCAGAGATTCAATGACTAGTTCTATTCCTGCTACAGACAGTGTAAGAATCAGAGAATCATTGGCTGGTTCCATTCCTGCTGCAAACACAGCCTGTATTACAGTATAAATTCAGAAAATCATTCACTGGTTCTGTTTCTGCTACAGACAGAGAAATGGTAGACATTCAGAAATTCACAGACTGGTTCTGTTTCTGCTACAGACAGAGAAATGGTAGAGATTCAGAAATTCAGACTGGTTCTGTTTCTGCTGCAGACAGAGAAATGTTAGAGATTCAGAGATTCACTGACTAGTTTTATTCTTGCTACAGACACTGAAACAGTGTAATGATTTAGAGAATCATTGAATGAATCCATTCTTGCTGGAGACAGAACCTGTATAGATTCAGAGATTTACTTACTGGTTCCATACCTGAAGCAGACAGAGAAAGGGTTAAGATTTCGAGATTCACTGACTTATATTTTTTCCTTGGCAGACAGAAAAGGGCAAAGATTCAAAGAACCACTGATTGAATCTGTTCCTGTTGCAGACAGAGAGTGTATAGAAAATAGATCACTGACTGGCAACCTATCTTTATCAGCATCAAGCCAACTTTGACAAATCCAAACAGTAGAAAGGGAACAGGGATCATCACAGGCTATTCAAGGATGTTGCTACTCCACTCTTTAATTTTTAGCAACACCCTTGAATTCCCAGCCCCACTCTTATTTTTTTACAGCAACTATCATAAATTTTGAGATAACATATGAGAATTTTTTTAAAACTTAAATGAGTTTTAAAGGGGCATTAGCTGTCAAATTTATGTTCAACGATTTAACTCAAATTTTCAAATTTCATCGCTGGGCTTCCAAAATGTCGTATATGACTTTTTTTGCTAAAACTACTTTTTCACACAAACCGGCTTGGTGGGAGGAATTCTCTGATATTCTTAAATATCATACATCTAGCCCAATTAAAACATTCGAAATAAGACATGTTACAAAACTGCCAATCTCAATTGTTTGTAAAGTTTGCTTCCAAAATGTTGTATGTAAACTTGAAATTTGTTGTATACTGAATTTGGGAATCAAAATTTTGTACATTTCTTTATTTTTGTGAAAATAAGGTTAGTTGTTGTGATATTCAGAAATGTCCAAGTTTTTATTTCACAGCCATTTGTAAAAACATTAAAGTTCACATACGACATTTTGGAAGCAAACATTTCAACCAAATTTTCAAAGCCTGTTTGTGGGATTTTTTTGTTGTTGAAAAATCAGTAATTTACTACATTTTGGAAGCCCAGCGACGATTTGATTTATAACCTACTAAAACGCATATCCAACTTGCTTAAAGTCTAATACGGACCATTTACAATGCATGGACTCGATAATATGTATCAACATTTTGTGTGTATTTTAGTCTAGACGCCATCTAGTTAACCATCAAGGTGACCTCCAAAGACTGCTGACGGTCATTTAGCCTGATATAAACACAAATATAGATATAAATAGAAAGCCAACACATGTAATTGGATTTTTCTCAGTGATCGGGAAGGACGTGCGCATTGCGCCAATTGCGCTTATCGACCAGAAATGGCGCATAGATTGACAAATGTAAGCGCCCACGTGGCGCATGATATTTTTCACTTCGTTTTGAAACGTTGAGATATCGTCAAATGGATTTCCAATCGTATTTCGTGCCGCCATTTGTGAGTACACAACTGTGTAGTGTTTACTCCAATGATAGGAGCACCTATACATTTTTGGAACGTCTCGGGTGTTTTCCTATGGTAATAATAGCAACATGCGGTATGACTGATTACCCAAAAATCATAATTAACCATCATTCATGATATATTTTTTTATAAACGACTTTAAATTTGTGAAAATTGGCTAGTACAGGCGAGAATTCTTCTCTAATTATAATCTTTTCAGTAAGCTTGCTATTATTTCGATTGAAAAACCCAAAAGCCTTTTTATGAATAGCATAGTATTTGTCTCCATAAAAGGGGCTTAACTGTCCTTGTCATTTTTTTTGGTCTTTGGCTCGTTTTGACATTTTGTAAACATGCCTTCAGCGAATTGTTTTTGTGTCTTATCAATTAACGTTTCTCTCTACTGTTATTCTTGTCATCGCGATGAAGTAATAATAATACAAGTGCAAATGAAATGCCAGAAACTTCCTCTAATACGGAACGTCTGGAATAAGTATGGTATCGACGAAGACCCAAATTTAATGTAAAAAAAAACATGAACATGAACAACATGAACAAGGGAACAGTACCAGTTTTAACATTGTAAATAAAGGTTATCGTAAATATTGCCCGGTTTGGAAGAAGTCATTGTATATTCATTGAAATTGAAATTACAAAATCACAGGAACAATATCCATAATATTAGTTAGAATCATACTTGTAAGTACAGTGAAATATACACTTTTTTTATTTTTTGTTTTTATTGTAAACGAATGGCCCACTCATTTGACAACATGGCCCATTAATTCTAAAAATGGCCCATTGAATTTATTTTTGGGGGGCCCTGGGCCCATAGAGAAAAAATCCTTCCAGATCACTGTTTTCTAGGTCTTTATTAAAATCATATTTTAATTTTTTTATAAATTAAACACAAGTGAACCCACGCCTGGTAAATCTTCTGTCAGTAGATTCCATAAAGTGGATACCTCGGGTATGCAGGGTCGTTACGATAAAAACATAAAATGTAGAAGGTCCTACATGTATAACGATAACACTTTAAGGAATGCTCCAGTAATTTATTAAGATCAATATGTTCCATGGCTAGGCCACAGTCATCAGGATAAAAAACAATACATGAAATCATGCTGATCTACAAAATCGGGTTGAGAAAATTAAAACGTCACAATGTTGCTATGGTGAGTAACGTTATAAATAGAAATTGAAAGAGAAAGTGAAAGTAAGTATATATGGAAGTAAACTATCAAAATAAAATAAAAATACAATGTTTTTGTTGTTCAAATTATTCTGCCATTATGTGTTAGCACTCTTGCACAGTGAAACGAATTATACAATAAATTATTGTCAGTTGTGTTCTGTGTAAACTTTGTGTTCAATTAACGTCTTTATTTCCAAATATAGACAACATTACTAGCAATTCCGTACCATTTCGACTGGCTTCCCTTTGCCAGAGGTACTACTCCCAATCGCTTCCGGAATGCTGTAAAGTGTTTGACCGCCGAAGGTTTAGGGAAAATTAAATAAAATATCACAAGTCTATGCTGAATGTAAACGCTGTGTTCCTTCATTAAACTATCGGAAGTGGCTGGTAATCTGGTAAAGTTGGTAGTATGTTTGATTAACGTATTTTCTGGAACTTCAAAGTGAATTTCATAATAAGAATTATCTCTGGCCAAGGGAAGCCAGTCGAAATGGTAAGGAATTGCTAGTAAAATGTCGTCTATATTTGGAAATAAAGACGTTAATTGAACACAAAGTTTACACAGAACACAACTGACAATAATTTAATGTACAATTCGTTTCACTGTGCAAGAGAGCTAACACATGATGGCAGAATAATTCTAACGAACATTTTAACAACAAAAACATGGTATTTTTATTTTATGTTAATAGTTTACTTCCATATATACTTACTTTCACTTTCTCTTTCAATTGCTATTTATAACGTTACTCACCATAGCAACATTGTGACGTTTCAATTTTCTCAACCCGATTTTGTACATCAGCATGATTTTATGTATTGTTTTCTATCCTGATGACGGTGGCCTAGCCATAGAAACATGTCAATCTTAATAAATTACTGGAGTATTCCTTAAGTGTTGTTGTTATAGGACCTTCTACATTTTAATTTTTTTAATCTCGTAGCTAATGCCCTTTTAAAAATAAGCTAAGAAACATCGCTGATGAATTATTCACTTGCAAGTGAATAGGAAGAATTATTCACTTGCAATTTAAACGATATCATTGAATCCGTATTCATGTGACCTTCTATTTAACCCCTTAGCTAGAGATGGGTTACGCATAAACTAGGCGTGCTCAGCTATTAAAATCATCGTCAGAACTCTCGATTCTTCACAACTTCTCAAGCGCCATTTTCTAAAAAATTAGATCAATTTTTACTACAAGTCAGACATAATTTTGCAAAGAAGGAACACGATTGGATAGCTTTATTTAGACTTTCCTTAAAAGAAATTTGACCCTCGAAACTATGTACAAGTACAATCAGGTTTAAGAGCTGTTTTTTCTAATGCTTGTAGTTTAAAGATTTGGTTGGTTTGCTTGCTTTGTTTGTAATAAAGATTGACATCTGCAATTTGCAGATGTCAATCTTTATTACAAACAAAGCAAGCAAACCAACGGGCCGCCAATCAATCGATAGGCAGGGCTTCAGCTTGAATACATTATACTCTGTATTATACTTAACATCCAATAACATTTAAGTATAATGTTAGTGCCAGGAATAACACAAGCAGCTGTATTTCATTGCCCAATAAAATAATGCAACTTGTGACATTTGCAAAGCCCAGGACAGTTCCTGGTTTTCTTTAACATAATACATGTAGCTAGTTCATTTTAAAACAATAGACCACTTTCGAGTTCGTTGCATTTCCGTCAAAAACTTTGGTTTTAGTGAACATCATTTGTGCGTTTAGGGGCATCGTCACTTCCTTCCCATGTTGAGCAAACGGTTGAAAAAATATGATGCTATATTGCACAAATTTTTCGGCAAATTAAATTCTTATAATTGATAATCAGCACTGCTGTCATTAGGGAATTGTGATTATGTACCTACGGAACAAACATTATTTCTAGTTTATCCTGAATACAGAATTATACTGCATAATGACGATCACGAAGACCCTTGATGAATTTAAATAGTACAGGGATACAGGCAATCCCCTCTATCTAGTAAATGACGTCATAAAGACGTGCATAATTGAACTTTTCTGGTGAAGGAAATAACTCGAAAGTAGTCTATTGCCTTGGTCTGTTGACTGTTGTGTTGGTGGGAATCGTGTTGTCAGTCTGTAGTTTTCTATGTGTGTTTTGTAGACTGTTGTGTTGTTTTTTTTATCGTTTTTCATTTTCTTGTCATGGCGTTGTCATCTTGTCTACGACTTATGAGTTTGAATTATATCCATTTGGTCCATCCCGCGTCTCTTTTAGGATCTTACAATTTCATGATACATTGTGTATTGGGATGATTCGGGTAATTGACTCTAGCTCACTGAAATTTCCCTCTTCAATGATATAGCGTGATTTAAACGATATATGTTTTGCAAAATACCATAACTGTGTAATCCATTTACCTGGACAGACGAGTTTGATGGAATAAATTGAACGTCCGTTTGTTTTCTTTTATTTCGCGGATAAGGTATCAATATCCGGTTTGAGCAAAATAAAGATTTCAATGTTCTGTTATGCTGGGAGGAATCCGCTTTTTAGATTTTGAAGAATAACTGTTGTTAAAAAAGAGACGGAAGAAACCAACGAGTCGTTCAAACTTCTTGAGTCGAACAGAAACTGTAAAAAATGCAAATAACGACGTTTTGGTAACAAATTCGATGCAGCAAAGACAGTTATAAATTTTCTATTGTCTGCCAAACTTTAAAAAATCAGGGACAGCTCAGCGGGGGTAACGTTATCAGTGACCAACAAAGGAGCACTATTGGACCTATAAAATTTAACATTGTTGTATATGGAAACAAGTTGCTTTCTTTAAAAAAAGAAAAGCAATACGTGAACCCGAAACCGCTGACTGGTCACCAAAAAATTGTTGGGGAATTTTTTTTTTGCTTTTGATTTGAAATAATTCACTGTGTGAATAGAATAAGGTATCGTAATGATGATGTTAAAACACCTTTATTGAAAATATTTAATTGTGTATAAACTCTTGCACAAGTCAATTGAAGGCAATGTTTGGTTTTAGTTGTGAAAAGAAAAGTGTATAGCTACTATTTGAATTTACCTTTTAAGTCTTGACAATTTCATTTATTACTTGGGAGAGTACATCATTTTTCTTAATCCTATTGCAATCCCAGTTTCTGCAAAACGGATGTCTAATGCAAATTGCACAAACCAATCGTAATATAAATTTAAGCACTTAGTTTGTTTATAATTATTAATCTAGATGCATTTATCTTATCTTTGATATCTTTGATATCTTCATATTTTGTTTCCTTTATGCCTTCAACTATTTTTATACTCGTTGTTGAAGCTGTCTGTACTAATGGTAGATGTTGTATAGATGAATTTTAAAGTCTGATTTCCATGTGAAATGAAAATAACAAAAATACCGAACTCCAAGGGAAATTCAAAACGGAGAGTACTTTATAAAAGGACAAAATCAAAAGCTCAAACACATCACACGAATGGAAAACATCTGTCATATTCCGGACTTGGTACAGGCATTTCTTTATGTAGAAAATGGTGGATTAAACCTCTCACTTGTATGTCGCATAGAATTCCATAATATTGACAACAATGTATGAGCAAAACAAACAGACATTCTCTCATTGGCACTCATACCACATCTTCTTATAAGTGTAATGGTGGTCACTTTGTTTACTTGTTATTATTTATTTGGGGAAATTGGTTAATGTTAGTATTATTTATAGTTCCGTAACTCTTTCTTCCGAGACCGGCCATGTAATTATTCTTGTCGGGACTTCCTGCCTCTTGCACGTGCCTGACATCCGGCCCGGCCGGGCTTGTTGTCCCAATGAACTATAAGTATGACGTCACTCACCGGGTTCAGGGCAGTCTACACTTAGGATTTGAAATGAGCAGACGCTCATACCGTTTGGTTTGGTTTGCAAATATGGAACTTTACAATGACAAGTAGACTAGCCACCACCGTATATTTTATTATTCTTGTATGTAACTTATATTCAACCATAACGTATGTCTTTTAATAAACATCTTGTTTATATTTACGTGGTTTTATAGTTGTCCAATATCCCAGAACTTGGGTAGACAACGGGAAAACGAAGCCAGTGGAAACTCCACTCCCGTTATATATCTATATAATAGGTAAAAATGTCAAAAATTAGGGTACAGCCGTCAACATTGTAATATAATCTTGATCACTATAAAAACAAATAACTATTTCAACAAAGAAAAACAAATTGGCATAAAGAAGTGAGACCCTGTGGCATGCCACTTATAAGAAGGTTTCGTTTATTTTTCTTGAGAGTAGCACATCATTGGGACCTCTTATATACTGACTATTATTTTGGTCTCATTAAACATCTCAAATTTTTAGGATTTCCTGAAGTTTCTTAAATCAATCCAAATATTCTACAGGAAAACTTGGTTTTGAAGAATATCTTTTCACTGAGAAGTTTTATGAATACCTTAACATACTCTCAAAAGAATCAATTTATATAAAAAGATATGTAGATATATGAAGATACCAGGATTAAAATGTTGTACGCCAGACGTGAGTTTAGTCTACAAAAGACTCATCAGGGACGCTTGAATAAAAAAAGTTAAAAAGGCCAAATAATGTACGAAGTTGAAAGGCAATGAGGACCCAAAATTTTGAAACAAAGATTTTGCCGAATACATCTAAGGTAATCGATTTCTGGGGTAGAAAATCCTTAGTATTTCGAAAATTTCAAAGTTTATAATAGGACAGTCACTCATAAAAAGAAAAGAAAAGAAAAGCAGCTAGTGATCAGAATACATAAGTAATGATGACCATGCTTGAAAGTCACAGTCAAGCTCTTACTGCCGTGTTCTGAATTTAGAAAAGAAATGCGAAAATTCACATTCGTGAGTGAAATTAATATTTATGCATGCAGGTGGTTTTCCTGCGCAAGAAATAGTAAATGGAAAGCATACACACTGATACTCTGGATAAGAATACGCATTTGTGTCATCTTATAATATTAATCTAGGCTGAAATCTAATGTTAAAAGTTGAATTCTGATATCAAACTACCTACCTCAAGTGTTTCGACTCCGGATTCATTGCCATTTAATTCGGAATTTGTGTGAACGCAAACCGATAGTGTGTCGTGTGCACAGGGTGATATATAATGTAAATGAACCAAGACGTGTGTAGGTCAACACAATGAATACAATTTTCAAAATAGTACCTTATTGCAAAGATTTAGATGCTTTGAAGTTGAATAATTAAAAAAAAAAAAATAATAATAGAAATTTAATTAACATACATTCTTGTTTATGAATCTTTTCCAAACTTAAAATATAATATCGATAAACACAAACGTCAAGTACTTACTGATGGACAGTTTATTTATCAAATCAATCTCTTCTTAAAATCTAACTTTCCATTATATGAATATATTGCTATTCAAAATATAAGCAGAGACTTGTAAAACCATACTAAAACAGTGTAAAATAATTAACGTAGTAAATAATTTTTTTTATGATTATTGAAAAATATGAATTACGTTTTTTGTAAGATGTAAGGATTTAAAATCCTTGTGAATTGAAACCATGCAAGTATTTTTTCATTCACTACCGTTTAAAATTTATATAAAATGTGTACGCATCCCTGCTCATTGGTGCTCATATGTTGCATATATTTCATAAATGTATTTACTGTTCAAACCTGTGGGACATAATAAATGTATAGCATTTTTAATTATATTCTATCTGGGACTATTATACTGATGTCCCAGATTATATTGAGGATAAATTTAGTCTCAGTTTAAACTTGATAATTTCAATGAATATTCTCTTGGTCTATTTTGACAGAAGAATCCTTTTGTTAAATTATCTTTTTGCCTTTCAAAAACTGTGTTTCCGACCTAAAATAAATATTTATAACAGAAATATCGTTTTATTAATTTTCTTCATGCTTTCCGACATTTTCCCAGGATATGATTGAAATACAAAATATCACGTGGTAAACGTTCAGAAATAATCAGTTTATTCTGTAACCCGAATAAAATGTCAGTCGTTATATTCGGCCGATCTTTGACTAATCTCTGATTGCTACATTCGATAGGCTATATAGGCCACTAGAGTGCGCTGAATTATTCGAGTTATTTATTCTGAGACATTATATATTAATAAACTATTCCCAGGTTTATGGTCACAATGCACAATAGCACGTTGAATTCAATACTACACACACAACGCGTATAGGGACCGTCTCAAAACATGAAATTTATAATTGCGTGATCATTATACTTGATATTTAATAAACATTCGCATTATTAAAAACACATGTTTTGTCAAAAGGCAAATATGTTCCAATATAGAAATGATTTTTTGACTGCAGTCTTGTCTTTATTTTTTTAACTTTCCGATCTACAAATGAACTTTGATTGTTGAAATACAATGTCACGTGTTAGCATATCCATAGAGGGACCGTATCAAAGACATAAATGACTACATGTATAACTGTCACGGATATTTTTAATTAATCTGTTATATTTTTAATTTGAAAAACATCATTAAGAAAGCTACATGTTTTACGAAAATTGATAAAGCAACCCTTTTAGGTTTGATTTCAATGAATCATGACTGCGATTTTAAAAAGATATGTAATTTTGGTACTGGAATTAGTGAGGTGCACAACTTTATATCAGTGCAGCTAAATTGTGATTTACCAAATATTTTACCAAAAAAGAAGATATGCAGAAGTTTTAAGAATTTTGATGCATCAAATTTTTTAAAATATTTAGAAAATCAGAATTTTTATATATCTGAATTTGATAATGTAAATGCATATGATAATTTTAGTAAACGTTTCATTGAGGTAGCAATATTTCCAAATCAGGTACCATATATCAATGCAGAGCTTAAAGGTGCCATTTATAGAAAAAAACATGATGTATAATAAATTTCAAAAATTCAGTGGTAGTAAGAACTGGGAAGCATATAGGCGCAAACGCAACTATGTAACAAAACTAAAAAATAAATCTATTAACCAATATTTTATAGAGAGGTGTGCTGGGGGCCGGAAATCTAAAGATTGTTGAGAAATGTATACGTAAAATTAATGCTAAAAATGCCACTGGAATAGATGGTATTTCACCTAAATTACTACATTTTGCTAAACCTGCTATTGTAAAACCTCTTATAGATATTGTTAATTTATCATTATCATCACCAACCTTCCCTGGCCGTCTCAAGGAAGCTCTCAAGTTGCACCTATTCACAAAAAGAATAGTGTATTAGAAAAAAGGAAATTAAAAACCGGGAAGTGTGTTAATGGCCATTTCTAAAATTTTTGAAAATGCCATAGAAGTACAATTAGTACAGTACTTTAATAATATCTTCAATCCTTTTTTGGCAGCTTTTAGTTCAGGCTTTGGATGTCAGTAAACTTTATTAAGAGTAATTGAAGATTGGAAATTAGCCCTAGACCAAAATAAATACCTTGCAGCTATCCTGATGGACTTGTCATAA